GAAAGTTTACTGAATACTGAACAGCTGTTTGGTTTTGAATATCGCATATCATCTTTAAAATAAATAGATCATTGTACTTTAACCGAACAGATAGAAGGTAGAATTCAAACCTCATGATTCGATCGTAAATATCACCCGATGCAGATAACACTGTCTAGTTTCATAATAAGACGAGACAGCTGTTAATTAATATTCCAGTATATGTAAGTATTATGAAAGCCAACTTTCAGTAAACAAATTCATTGAAATCAACTAAGCAGATCTAGACAAAAATAATTCACCTGTATCATTTGTATTTATTGGCATACATAATTTATAAAATTTATCATAGGCGATCATATTTACCTTTTGATCTTCACAGCTTTATGGTCTGATTTGCAAAGTTACTATCTAGGTTGATTTGATTCACCGCTTGCAGATCTTATCAACTTTCCTTATCATGATTAATCGACGCGACACTCAATATTATTAACTAAACAATCTACAATGGTCAGGAATTTGCATTTGCAACTTCAATCTATATGTGTATTTCGTATATAAATGTAGAACCCTAAAACATGCTTCATAAGATTTAATCTTGTATTTTTGTTGAAAAGCATTTAAAAATAGAAATATATTAATTGTTTCAAAAGCAGTTAATGCGTAATTAAACATAGCATTACTACGACGGTTTGCGGTTATAGTATGTTCATAAGATATTCATTCATTTAGAATTTGCATAATCACCATTTTTGAAGAAGTGTTTCAAAACATTTTAAAATGCATTAGAATCTAGTATCAAATTTCTCCTTTTGTGAAAGTCATCTGATCATGTAAAAACAGTCAGTAGGACCTCTTATCAGTACACATAAATTTATAGCCATATTACAAAAACCCTATTACGATAGGAACTTTGCCCAAACTTTGTCTCATCAATATATTTTGATTAGTTACTAGAATGTAATTAATGTAATTCTGTATGCCTCACAATACTAGTCAATCTGTAGGAAGCGCAGATTCCCGAACACACTTGGTTCTGTGTTTCATAATTTCGAAATACAAAAGTGTCATCGTTATTGATTTCATATTATTCTGAAAACAATATTTGAAATGTGTGTTCAAATAGTTATTTGTTTTGCATTAAAATAGCTTCCAGAATTATCTTCTACTTGAATATATATAATATTTCAAATTATAGGCTTTATAATACATGGGAATCGGTATTGATTCAAAGAAATTTATGATACCTTTTTTATTTAAAAATTACCTGTAAATTTTAGATGCTGTTTATGGCTTTCAAGCATATTTGATTAATTTAATCCAAGCAAGAAGCTATTTGCTTCAATCTTTCTTTTTCTAAAATACTTGATCAATTCTTACCAAATATTTTCAGTAACTTAAAAACATGTGTTAATGTCCTATCAAAATCACAGGTTGGAAGTTGTATAAGTTGTGTGGTAGTTATAAAATAATGTGATTATACGTATTTTCTTAAAAGGTTTAACGAACTGGAATGTAATCTAGCCGATACATTTATTAGTGCTTAAAAGTCGTTCATTGGTGTTTGTTTTATCAGTATTTAACAATACATACTTACTTACGCCTGTTACCCCTCATGGAGGAGCATAGACCATTCACCATCATTCTCCATCCAACTCTCTCCTGAGTAATCCTTTACTGTTTTTCCAGTTGCTATTCATCCTTTTCATGTCTGCTTCCAGTTCTAAACGAAGTGTGTTCCTTGGTCTTCCTCTTTTCCGTTTTCCTTCAGGAATCCAATTTAACGCTTGCCTCGTGATGCAGTTTAGTGATTTCTGTAATGTATTTCCTACACACCCTGAGCGTCTTTCCCTATTTTCTCTTTCAGCTAGAAGCTCGTTTGTTTTCTCCAACAGTAAGCTGTTGCTAATGATATACGGCAGACGAACATTGAGCATTTTGCGTGGAAAATTGTTTATAAATACTTGTATCTTCTTGATGATGGTTGTAGTAGTTTTCCATGTTCCAGCTCCGTACAATAGAACTGTATTGACGTTTGCATTGAAGATTCTGACTTTGATATAGGTTGACAGTTGTTTTGAGCTCTATATGTTCTTCAATTGTAGGAATGAGGCCCTTGTTTTGCCAATCCCTCCCTTTACATCTTCATCTGATCCTCCATTTTCATCGATGATTCTTTCCAGGTACGTGGAAAATTCCACATCATGAAGAACTCCATCAATTGTGACTGGGTTGGTGTTCTCCGTGTTTTATTTGAGGACCTTGCGTTCCCCTTGTGAATGTTAAGGCCTACTGTTGCAGATACTGCTGCTACACAGACTGTTTTAACCCGAATTTGTTTATATGTTTGGGAGAGAAGGGCTAGGTTATCTGAGAAGTCCGAATCGTCTAGTTGTATCCAACCTGTCCACTTTATTCCGTGTTTCCTCTCAGGTGTGGAGACCTTCATAATCTAGTCGACCATCAGAAGAAAGAGAAAGAGGGATAGTAAGCAGCCTTGTCTGACTCTGACCCTCACTTGGAATGCATCTTTCAGCTGTCCTTCATGCACCACTTTATAGTGTAGTCCATCGTATGAATGCGGTGAGATGTTGACGATCTTTTCATGTACTTCATAGCGTCAAAGAAGTTTCCATAATGTTTTTTATGCACATTGTCAAATACTTTTTCATAATCAAGGAAGTTGATGTGTAGTGACGAATTCAACTTAACTAATTGTTTAACGATGATCCATAGTGTAGCGATTTGTTTTGTGCACCACCGATCTTTACAGTATCTAGCCTGTTGATATCGAAGCTAAGCGTCTACTGAATTTTTCATCAGATTCGGCAACAATCTGTTGTAAACCTCTCTTGGTACTGACAGCAGTGTAATGCCAGTGTAGTTCTCAACTTTGTTCAAATTTCCTTCCTTTGGTATCTTAATGAGGCGTCTTTCTTTCCAGTCTGTTAGTGGCACTCATCCCTCCTCCCAACTTTTCTTTAGCTTCAATTTCATCTTGGCAACCAACAGTCATGATCTGAAGCTATGTCAGTCCCTTTCTCTGTTCTAGCGTTTTCCATTACATTATGATGCTTTGAGTAATGCAAATGTGATCTAACTGATTCTCCATGGTGTGGTCTGATGAAACCCACATATCTTTGCGTATGTGTTTGTGGGAAAATATCGTGCCACCAAATATTTAGCATACTTTTGTTTTTAAACTAATTAGATAATTTCGATCAAATTTCGAAGACTTATTATACTTCTGTGTCTTATTCTACCGAAAAAATATTGACTAATATATAGATAGTTTCAACAGTTGAGATCATGAATCAATTGAAGCTAGACCACCATGGAAAACCTGGAAGTACTGGATGGCCGTTTCATGATTCATGATATCAACTCTTGAAATTACTACAATTTTCACAAAACCCCTTTTGATAATAATCAACATATGCTCACTAGTGACTGGCTACAAGAAGTATATTCTGAAGTTCTGGTGAGAAGCAATGACTAGTGGAGTTCATCCGGGTCAGTTGTGAGGGAGGAACTCACTGAAGACAATGGTGGATGTGTCTCTCAGTTTCGTGGATTATTTTAAGTTAGACATTAACACCGTTGGGTGCCTGCTCAGTGGTCTAGTTGGTAAAGCGCCTGGCGCGAGACTGATAGGTCCTGGGTTCGAATCTCGCGGTGGGCGGGGTCGTTGATGCGCACTTGTGTGGAGTTCCGCAATAGGACGAAACGGTTGTTCAGTGCTTCCAGGTTTTTCATGGTGATCTAGCTTCAATTGACTCATGATTTCAATCAAAAACTTAACAGTTTTCACAACACCTAAACTGATAAATAATTAAGAATTGACTTTTGAACAGACTCTGTCTCTATGATAAGTACAAACACTTATGATATTATGTTTGAGAAATGTTAAATTATCAGTGTTAAAAATTTTTACGTTAGTTTAGAAAATTACATGTACAGACGTTTTAAATGTAGAATGCTTGATAATAATTTAAAGAATGACGTTATAAAATATTATTAGTTTGAATATGTTTCATTCAAGTACATTCCAATTTTTATAGGATTCAATTTGTGGTAATTGACGATTAACTGTATAATAAATTTGATTATGTTTTGATATGTTAGAATTAAGTTAGTGAGTTAGTTCATAAATAGCGTTGATTCAAGTACAAATGTTTGTCATTACAAATTGTCCCAAAACGTTGACTTATCGAAAAGAAATTTACTAGGTGAAAAAAGTAAGCAACCAAGGTAATGTGATAATAATTTTAACAATGAAAAACTATATTATTGAAGTAATTATTTCAAAGGGGATTCATGAAATAGAAGGATCAAAAATAAAATTCAAAGTAGATTCGGTTGACTATAACGAATTGTACGTGATATGAAATAAGATTTCTGATTATAGATTACAATCACCTCATCGACTACACATGTTTATACGTGATTTAAATCACTAGTCAGGAAATTTATGAATTAATTTTATTTCTTATCTAAAACATTTTCTTAATTCGCTTTTATTCTAACCCAAATATCACTTCAAAATAAACATTAATATAGCAAGTCAAACACATTTAAACATAATTTTATATATTCTATACATTTTTAATGGTTAAACTGTATTTTAAATACTAGGTAATTTTAAAGGTTATCTATCATTAGCGTGAGACTGATAGGTCCTGGGTTCGAATCTCGCGAGGTGCTGGTCGTGGATGTACACTGCTCAAAAGTCCAATACTAGGACGAAACGGCCGTCCAGTGCTTCCAGGTTTTCCATGGTGGTCTAGCTTCAATTGACTCATGATTTCAGCCTGTGAAATAATTATTCATCATATTACATCTTCATAAAGAAAATCTTACAAAATCAATAGAATAAAATACAATAATACCCTATAGTAATTTCTTTTCTAGGGAAATGTTGATATTTTATAAATTTAAACTGACAAATTATTCTTTTTTTCCTATTATTCATTATGTTTTTCTTAATTCTTATTTCTTTGTTCAATGTTCATTAATTATAGACATAAAGAAATGTATCATAAAGAAGTATCATAGAAATAATTCACTTCAACGATGTTTAATGAATAATTCTTTTGAAGATCTGAATAATACATTACAATATCATCCACTATACGTTAATACCACTAGTAATAATAATAATGAATTAATAAATTCCGATAATAAAACGTTATTGAAAATTCACAAAGTAAGTGATATTTGTTTGAATAATGTTTTGTTTTGAACTAACATTTTTGTTTTCTACGTTTTTTTAAAAAGTCACTAATTTAGTGACATAACTCCTAACAAATAAGTGATTGGATACTTATTATCTGTTATCATACAGAAATAGGTTACTTTGGATTACATATACATATATCTTGACGTGGTGGTCGGACTTGCCTATCGTGATGCAGCAACCGAGCTATACTGGCTGGAACAACCGTTCCTCAAGGTGCATGCCAGACAGGTCGGTTGAAGAGCGGTAAGACTAAAAGCAACAAACCCAATGTTTGAAGGCGAAGTCGTACTGCTGACTGTACAGAGGTGTGACAGCAGTAAGGTGTTTCCTTCAGACAACCAGTATGACAGCGATGCCGCCTTCACACAAGGAGGAGTGGGGTCGGAAAGGGTCTCAGGGTATTAGGGAATGATGGTAAATCTATTGATGAGGTTGTGAACCTTCATCGACTGAGATGGTTGGGCCACGTGTTGCGTATGCCTGAACACCGATTACCACGACGCGCAATCCTGATTAGTGTTGGGGATGGTTGGAAGAAAGTTAGGGGCGGCCAAACCAAAACGTGGCATCAGTCCTTGAAGTCACTAACTTCTGGTCTGAGCCATGTTGGTAGATGCAGACTACTTGGTTGGGGTCCACGTGACTATCGTAACTAATGGTTGGAGATTCTTGGTGACATGACTCAGAATCGATCACAATGGCGTCGGTGTATACACTCTCTGTCTTCCCTTAAACTATGGGATTAAAATCACTTTCTTTCTTTCTTTCTGCGAACTAATTCTTTCTTCCTGTACTATATGCTTATATGCAATCCTTCTGTTATATATTACCACCACTGAACCAACTACTATGAATCCGATGTTCGTCTTGCTGTGCTAATGCGGTATGGCAACTTGAACCGATGCATATAATATGTAATTCCACTATATATTTTCATAGTTTCATTATATTGATTAAACAACATTTAATCAGTGAATGTGATAAAGTATACTTAGTTTACTGTTTTATCTTTTAAATAGAAAGAACACAAACTTAAGCATGATAAAATGAATTTATTTTATCTTGTTAGGTTCTCGGTCTTCAGTTATTTCCAACCTATAGTATTTCAAAATCAAAATCTTTATTATAGTTAACACATATGTATACCAGTGAAATGGGTCAAATATGCAGTGCAATTCGAATACAGTTAATAGTTTGTATTTCGATCATCTCTCCTCTGAACCTGATTCTTGACTTCATATTTGTTTTATAATTTGTTCAATTGGCTGATAAGTTTTGTCTGTTTTAATACGTTTATTGATTGCTGAGCCTCGAAAGCTCTCTGGTATTGTTTATGTTACTTCGAGATTTCAATGCTATCACAGTTAAATGAACGTTCACGGTTTTTCAAATGTAATGATATAAGTAGAAGTACGTCATGGCGTTCAACAATCAAGTAGTATTTATGTTAATGAAGATAAACGTAGTGGTTAGTTTGTTCTATATTATGTCTGTCTCACTTGGAGCAGTTTATTTTGTTGATGATTTCTTTGATATTTACTCATTAAGTTTATATGATATTAAAGTGATTTTGTTGGCTTATGAGTAACTCCTATTCCTAAAAGCCTCAACTGTATGACCTTACTTTTTGATGTACTTTTCATCTACGGCAGAATAATCTTATTGTTAGTTTCCATAGTTTGTATTCAAATGATAAGTTCGACAAACGTTTTTATGTTTACTATTTTGAAAAGGAGTCATTAGGTTTCTCTGTTCACTTTTCCTCACAGTAGGTGTGATATAGTGTGTCTTCACTTTTTGTACAAGGTGTGGACGCTGCTGATTTTATAAGTCTTTTATGCTGAATGATTTCTACATTGGAAGCTTTTATGATGTGATCACTTAACTAAGTGGAGTGAAACTGTTAAATTTTCTTTGAAGTTATGCGTTTTGTAAGCGTTAGCAGAAAACCCCATGGGATTTGAACTTTGTTATTTTATGTTATAATCCCAAAGGTTACCATTAGGATATTTGACGTTCGGCAGGCATATTACCAGTATAAAAGTTTACACTAACTGTTTACTATGTTACATCAAAATGTCTTAATAAGCTAAACACATTCTGACTTTTTCACTACTAAAGTACGACCCTGTCGTAAAGATACAAATTCATGGTTATATTACATTGTCTTCTGATTTCTTCAAAATGGTATCACATTTCATTAAGTCATTACGTGGCATACAGAACCAATCGTTAAAAGTTTACTTATTGGTCATAAATATAAATATGATTAACACATATATTCTTAAAACTATTTCTTTGACAAATATTAAGATTATGTAGATTCAAATAAATACCCTTTAACATATAGGTGTCCATGTATGATGCTTTTGTTTCTCAGTAGTGAGTGAGACAAATATGTTGTGTATTTAATGAATTAGAATTTACTTTTCGTTAAAATCAAATAGTATAAAGTAAACTGTTATTTTATACACTTTCAATTTTAACCAGACTATCGAATTTGTTTAATTTTTCCGCTTACATTATGAAGTATTACTCGTTTATAGAACAAAGATTTATGACATGGTGCGTTATACCTTAGAATTCTAAATGCAGATTATTCACTACAAAGTATTACCTATTGATCAATAGTTTATTAGGGTAAAATGAATTTTGATCCATTGTTGTAATTGTTCGGTTATATTGATTGCAATAGCGGTTCAATCGATTATGTCTCACGATTTAATGTAAAACTTGAGTTTAAAGAGCACTATGACGATTGATTCATAGTTTAGTGAGTACTACCTCTACAAATTTTTGTAAATTTTTACAAATTGAAGTGAACGTTTGCGAAAGCAAAAGTAAATTGTTTATAAACTTCTGTAAAATGGTAAATTGTTTGATTTGTTAAAATGTGTATTTTCATAGAATAAATGTAATGTAGCTAGCGATGTAATCCAGAACACGAGTTTTATTCTATTTAGGCCCTATCAGCTAGGTGCACTTGCATCCTTGAGTACACGTCCACTACAAGATAAGAATCCAGTTCTGTTTGCTTTGAATGATATCACGTTTTCTTTTTAGATACTGAATCTACTTATCAACAATAGCATAATCCAAGTTCTTTTAAGTTGAATGTATTCTGTGTAGATTTCCTCTTAGAAATGGATAATCATCTTCTTTCAGTTATTCTTCTCATCGTTCTTATCACGTTTTCCTCTTAATCCTTTTTTCTACTTTTATCATTGAACATTAAACATTTAATAACCAGCCTAAGAATTAATTATTATATAAGCATGTAGTTAGTGATATTAGTTCAGTCAATAAGCTCAGACTTTAAAAACTAGGATAAAGAAGGGAAAATTTGAATGCGACAATCATAACTGTACTCTTAATAATAGTAAACAGCCCCTGATAAAGTGTTGATATAAACTTCAAATTACCAATAAACTGAATATATTTTTTAAAACGTTTGAATCTATTAGATTATATAATAGATATAAGTAAAGATATAAGAGAAATATTTCAGTACAGTTAGTAAGGTGTTAGATCCTACAGTTATAAATTCAGATGAATGATCTAAAGAGATAGTCATCTTTAAAGTAAATATATCTTTTAACAATTACAGAGTACTAGCATTATTATTGTTCATAATACTTTATATTATGACCATCATTGTTAAACGTGTGACTATACAAAGAATTCAAGGAATGATTATGCCATTTTACTTTTTCTTAATTAATTTCTATCATTCTACAGATATTGTGTTATTCAATCAAACATTTGATCTGATTTGTAATTACATAATTATCTTTCTTATCTTATATGATTCATATTTATTCTAATTAATATTAATTTCATAATTTCAACTAATGTATAAACCTATTCAATGTTAACATTATATACCAGGTATTTCAGTAATATCAATAATTTTATGTTATATTACGAACAATTCTAAATTCACATGTTGTAATTTCAAAAAGTTTTATCTACCTTAAACTTGTCCATTCTTTTAGAATATTAGCTCAGATAGATAATTGTAGAGTGTGAAGTAAATTTATTGAAAAGTGTATTCATCATTTATACATTAGTGTTTTGATATGATGACAATTTTCAAACAAATAAAGTATTTTAGTGGTCCAGTATCTGACTCCAGTTATATTTTATGAATGATTGCTGTCGATATATATATATCGTCAATTCTCGTTAGTGAATAACGAAATTAAATAAGCTAAATACGAGAATGGATTTTTGAATGCGTATATTTTGAACACTCATTGATTCGAACAGATAATCAGAGAATTGCAGCAAATGAAGTGAAGAAGAGAGAGCGAAGTGAAATGAAAGGATGCGCAGTGGAGCCAACTTCATTTAATCAAGCATTCATCGATATTTATATCCAGATAAAAATAGGTTACAGACATGTGATTATTAGGATAAGAAATGTATGCACATACGCTCATATAGAAACAATCAGGGTTGATAAGCAAATAATTAACAAGGTGAAAACGTGACTCAAGGAGAATGGATAAATTGGCTTGTCCAGAAGCTGGAATAAATTATATGGGTTTAACATAGTAATTGACACTACAATATGTATAAAGTGGTTTATTTTATTTCAGTGTACAATATTCACATGAATTTATTACCGTTGTTGCTTTTTGACTTTCTATTTAATATTGCAGTTGTCTCATAGCTGGTCGAATTTCTGAGCCAATATTTAGATTTACTGACTTCAATCAGTAGGTACGTCCGTCAGGTATATATATAACGAATTACGGACTTATATAAATGTAAAATAGATAGTATCTTAAAAGATTATTTGAAATGATTTAAAGTTAAACAATGTTTAGTAGAAGTAATAAAAAGATATTGTATAGAATGATCTACTAATTTCCTTCCAAACAAATCCATATAGATCATGATTACTTAAAAAATGGTTGAAGGTAGAATAAAATATTTCTCTGGATTTAAACTACAAGTTATTA